ATTCCACATGAAATTGCCCAGTACAGTCGAGGCGTTGACCTAAGGAACCCTAAATAAGGAACGAGGCCCCTATTTTCCATAGGTTGAACTTCGATTTCGTATCGGAAACCTAAGGACAATCCAAGGCAAGCTGCGAAACAATCAAGGAACACGGAGCCCCGTCCCAACGAAAAGGGTTCCTTCTTCAGGGCCCCGACTGTAGTGTTGAAGCAAGTTGTGTGTGCGAATTTCATGTTGGCCAACATGAGTTTCGCATGAATCTGAATCACAATGAATCTCCATGGATTCCCAAGAGGCTCCATGAACTTGGCTTGGCAACGGCTTCCAGAGCTCCCAGCATCGACGCGTCTTACAGTTTACGCTGCGAGTTGGTTTGGCTGCAGAAACGGAGCCGACGCAGCCGTGGAGGTTCGGCGGTGCGTGAATGTCTGCGCGTGCACGAGCCTGTACTTATGCGGTCTCTTCCTCCCCTTCCCCCTCCCTCCCCTTCCACCCCCCCTCCCCGCCCTCCTCGTGCTGAGACGCATGGGGGAAAACAACCTCCTGCTGTCTGTTGTTTTCCGAATCGGTTTGAACAAAAATGATGCCAGACAACAAAAACAAACAGATTTTGTTTGGGGCTATAGGGCTATGTGGCTATAGGGCTATAGGGCTATAGGGTTATACGGCTATGGGGCTATAGGGCTATAGGGCTATAGGCTAAAGGGCTATAGGGCTATAGGGCTATGGGGCTATAGGGCTATAGGGTGATAGGGCTATAGGTCTATAGGACTATAGGGCTACGGGGCTATAGGGCTATAGGGCTATAGGGCTATGGGGCTATTAGGGCTATAGGGCTATAGGGCTATACGGCTAAAAAGCTATAGGGCTAGTAGGGCTATAGGGCTACAGGGCTATAGGGCTATACGGCTATTAGGGCTTTAGGGCTATAGGGATATAGGGCTGTGAGGCTATATGGGCTCTAGGGCAACAGAGCTATAAGGCTATACGGCTGTAAGGCCACAGGGTCATAGAGCTACCGGGCACCTGGGCACCCGGGCACCTGGGCATACGGGCACCCGGGCGCCCAGGCACCTGGGCACCCCGGCACCCGGGCACCCGGGCATCGGGGCACCCGGGCACACGGGCACCCGGGCACCTGAGCGCCTGGGCACCCAAGCACCCAGGCACCCGGGCACCCCCGGGCACCTGGGCACCCGGGCACCCGGGCACCCCCAGGCACTCGGGCACCCGAGCCCGGTCGTCGAAATCGGCGACATAGGTCACCTACACCTATGAATCCGCCAGGACCCCTACAGAGGCAAGCTCTGCTTGGGAAACCTTCCCCCTCCCCTCGTCGTCCTCTTCCTAATCCTTCGCGTCCGAGGCACGCCTGAGCGACGCCCCTGTTTAGACCGTCGCGCAGCGACGGGCGCCGCCCCGAGTAGAAAGTGCGCCAGGCTGCGAGGGGGCGCTGGATTCGCAAGGCCCAGGCCGCGCCATCTTTCGCTGAACGCGTTTGCGAGGTTGCCCACTTTGCTGCGCAGAGGAGGGGGACAATGACGAGGATTCGTTGCTTCTTGGTAGGTCAGGGAGTTTGGAGAGCGCTGAAAGCGCAGGGGGGGTGCGGCGCGAGGGCGTCAAGGGCCCCGCAGACCTCCGACGTCGGCCCTTCGTGAACGCGCGCCAGGCGCGCGGCGCTCCCCGCCCCCGTCCCCGTCTCCTCGTGCGCAGGGAGGTCGTGTCCCGATGGCCAAAAGGTACTGAGACTGCCCCTGGAATTCCTGAGTCCTGAGGGAGGAGAAGGGGACGACGACGACGACGACGACGACGACGACGACGACGACGACGACGACGACGACGACGAGGACGACGAGGACGACGAGGACGACGACGACGACGACGACGACGACGACGACGACGACGACGACGACGACGACGACGACGACGACGACGGCGAATCCGACACCGACGACGACGACGAGAGGGAATCGTGGAGACAGCAAGCATCCCCGACTGGGCGATCTCGAGAGGCACGGCGCCGGAGGTCTGGGCCGCGGCCAGAGCCGCAAGCAACAAGGCACGCCACTCGCACGCGCGGCAGGACGCAGGACGGGGGCACAGAGGCGCCGGGCAGCTGGTCTGAACGAGGGGAGGCAGGCAGCGCCGGCTGCGCGCACCCCCCTCCCTCCACAGGGATGCGAGGGTCCGGACTCCTCCCTGTCGCACCCCCAGGCATGCGGTAGGGCGGGCCAGGCCTTTCGCTTGCGATTCCCTCGCTGCTTATGATCCTGAAGCTTGAAACTTGCACTGGTTATGACCCTGAAGCTTCAAAATGTGGCTCAGCACCGCACCCTTCGGTCTTAAAAGTTCGCAGCAGCTTCACAAAGGAAGGGCGGGTCAATCCCACCAGCCCTCTGGGCGTAGGTGGTCTAGAACAGATCCTCTTCCACCCCTCCCTCTTCCCCCTTGGGGAGGGGTTTACCCCTCCCCCTACCCCCTCCCCTGGACCTGGACGGAGGGTTTCGCGAGCGGTCGGACGGCTCTTTTGGCCCCAAGATAGGAAGCCAAAATCATCGGTTTTACTACGGTTTTGGCCGATTTTGGAAGCTCCCGAGGGGGGAGGCTAATTGAAGCTCCCCTCTTGTTTGATCGACTCCCTCCAAGATGGCCCCAAGAGCGCTCCCAAGGCTCCCAAGAGCGCCCCAAGAGGGCTTCAAGAGGCGCCCAGGAGGCCCCAAGAGGCGACCAGGAGGCCCCAAGAGGCCTCCAAGAGTCCCCCAAAATACCCCCAAGAGGCCCCTAAGAGGCCCCAAGAGGCTCCCACCCGGCACCCAAGACGGTCCAAGAAGCTCCCGGGACCGCGAAGAAGCCCCCAAGACGCCCCAAGAGACCTCAAAGAGTATCCCAAGAGACATCCCAAGAGACTCCGCGAGGCAATCAAGAGGCCTTTGACTCTTCTGATCGCCCTTGATCCTCCTCCTCCCCCACATCATCACCATCATCATCATCATCATCATCATCATCATCATCATCATCATCAGCATCAGCATCATCATCATCATCATCATCATCATCATCATCATCATCATCATCATCATCATCATGATCATCATGATCATCATCATCATCACCATCACGATCACGATCACCATCGTCAAGACCACCACCATCATCGTCATCATCAGCATCATCAATATCAACATCAACATCAACATCCGCCTATTCCTCCTCCTCCTCCTCCTCCTCCTCCTCCTCATTCCTCCCTCCACACCCTCATCATCCTCCTCTTCCGCCTGCGACACGTCCTCCATCCCCCCCCTTGGGATACGACGGCCTCCCTAGCCCCTTGTTCCTCTGTATGATGCCCCGCTTCCAAGATCACCTCTACTCGCCTGGGCGTCGTTTCTGGATGGGCTGGTGGGGATACGCGAAGCGTCAAGAATTTCAAAATGCGGTTCTCCCCATAGACGCCGAGCACATTCATTATCAAAATTTGCAACAGCTTCACGGATGGAGGGCAGTTCTTTTTCGAAATGTGGCTCTCGCCTTAGCGCCGCGCACATTCGTTGCACAAATTTGCAAAATAGTTTCACGGATGGAGGGCAGATTTGTTTCAAAATGTGGCTCTCGACTCAGCGCCACGCACATTCGCCTCGCTGAAATCCCAGAACTTGCGCGCTGGCACGATTCAAGCCCCTCTGGGCACAACAATCACGTTGATTCGCGGTGCTGCAGCCCCAGGAATGATGCTCGTCACGATTTAGGACTGCCAGGACGCAACAGTCACCTGGATCAGCGGCATCGAAGTCCCAGGAATTGTGTTTTGACACGGTTGGGGATTCTCAGACGGTTGTCTTTCAATGGGCCACTTCCCGCAATGTACATTCGCCGGCACAACGGGCAAAAGGCGCGCTAAAATCTCCAGCAACAGCTTTAGAATACTTCTAGAATCGCGCGCGCGCGTGGCTGTCCCTGGGGGTCCGAGGACGAATAATACCTTTTGCAAATCCTGGGCGGACCCCGGGCGATCCCCGTCACGGATGCTGGAACTCCTGCCTGGGTACTGCCCTCATGGCCTCCAAGAGCTCCTCAAGAGGCCCCCGAGGCGGTCTAAGGGGGCCCAGAGTCACTGCAAGTCGTTCCAAGATGCCCAAGATAGCCTCCAGACGGCTTCAACCGCCTCCAAGACGCCCGAGGATGCCTCCAAGACCACTCCCGAGAAGCCCCCTAGAGGCAAAACTCAACGACTTGTCATTTGTTTTTGAAGGTTTTCAGCGTTCTCACCTTTTCGGCCGCGCTCTCGCCTTGTCAGCTTCCCCACGCTCCAAGACCGCCCCAGAGGCCTCCGAGATCGCCCCAAGACGGCCTAAGAGGCCTCCAAGAGAACCCCACCGCGGCCCAAGACGGCCACAAGACGGCCGCAGAGGCCTCCACGACGGACAAAGAGGGCCTCAGGACGGCCCCAACAGGGGGCCCAGAAGGAGGAAGCCGAGCGGGCATTTCGAGTCCTCGGCCCCAAGAGGCGTCCAGACTGCCCCAAGCGGCCCCCAAGAGCCCCCCAAGAGGGTCCAAGGAGCCCCCAAGAGGCGCCGAGAGAGCCACAAGAGGGATCCAAGGCGCCCCCAGGAGGCCCCCAAGAGCCCCGAAAGCTACTACACAGGAGTTCCCCGAAACCCTTCGAAGAGACACCGAGAAGCATCCATGAGGACCCTCCCCCACAACCACAGCAGCGCCGACCAGCAGCGCCGTACAGCCCACGAACGCACACGCAAACGCCAATGGTAGCACAATACGGGCAGGCGGAATGAGCGAAGCGAATCAATACATTCTTGTAGGGACCTATGAAGAGGGAACTTGGAGAGAAGGTATATTTCAACATCGCTCATGCGTCTTGGGTTTACAGCAGTCCTCCTCCTCCTCCTCCTCCTCCTCCTCCTCCTCCTCCTGCTCCTCCTCCTCCTGCTCCTCCTCCTCCTCCTCCTCCTCCTCCTCCTCCTCCTCCTCCTCCTCCTCCTCCTCCCCAGTGGAGCCAGGGACTCTCCTTGTGTCTGCTGGCGAGGGCTCCTTAGCCCGTCGTCTCGAAACCTGCTGTCTCTGCGCACTGCAGGGGCAAGGCCTGTCGAGCACAGAACAGAGGACGCCTCGGCCACCGCGAGGGTCCAAAACGAGCCGCGAGGGTCCAAAACGAAGCGCGTGGCGAGGGCGCCGTCTTTCTGGCTGGGGATGAGGCTGGGGACGCTGACTCTGTTGAGACAATTCGGGGCGGCGCCACGCCCACCCCGCTCCGCGGGCGTGAACACAGGCGCGCGGCCAGCGCCTCATTCCACTCCGGCGAGGACCACGACTGTCCCAACGCATGCGAAAAAGACACCAGTGACACCGATCGCCACGGCCGCAGCGCTAGATCTGCGCAGCCGCGCCTCGCCCTGCGGCTCGCTGCTCCGAAGCCGCCCCCGGACGGCCGTGCGGTAGATGATGGCAGGGCAGATGTAGGCGACGAGGCAGCCCGTCACGGCCCCTGTCAGCGCATTGACCACCCCGAGGTCGTCCACCCGTCCACCCACGAGGGCCGACAGCGGGACGAACGCGAGGGCCACCAGGACCTGCTGGGAGCGGACCTCCGCTGGCGGAGCCTTCTCGACGGCACTGCCCCTCCAGCGGCAGAGGAGCCCCACGCACGAGTCCCGGAACGGGTGGAAGACCAGCGGGTACGACATGGCGGTGGACACGGAGATGGACAGCCACGCGAGCATCGTCGCGGTCGTCGCCGGATACATGCGCAGCACGTTGCCCTCCACGCGCGACCCAAAGCGCCGCGCGCCCGCGAGGGCGAACGACAGGTAGGCAGCGAATGCCAGCGCGTACGCGGTGGCCACGACGCGGGTCCAGCTCGATGGCCTCTTGTCCCTGAGCTCCGAGTAGATGGTGGGCGCGTTGTAGTGCGCCACGAACGACTGGCTGAAGATGGCGATCGCCGAGAAGAGGCCTGGCGTGAGCCGCGCAATTGGCACCGCCAGCTCGGGATCCTGCTCGCGAGCCGCCGGGCTGATGGAGGAACAAAGAACGGCATCAAACTAAATCTTCGGAGGTCCGCGCGGACTTCCTGCATCGCCGCTGGAAACCCGCTCTCTGGCGCGCGGAGCGCTCGCGCGGAGCGCTCGCGCGGAGCACGCCAGGGGCGACGCCGGAGGCGCCGCCTGGGAGGCGCCGCCAGGAGGGCACCGTGGCGCCGATCCGAGAAATCCGCGCGGACCTCCGACAGATTAGGCTTGTGCCGTCTGCTGCTCTTCGAGCTGAGGGCGGCGTCGAGCAGCACCAGCAGGATGGTGTAGCACATGGCGCACATGCCCAGCACCGAGGCATGCCTCTGCGTATCGTTTAACCGATCCCCATCCCCACCAGCGTGGACTGGGCCCCGCTGGCCGATTCGCCCCCCTGGAGGGGGATACAGGCCGCAGCCTTCGGGTTTCGAGGGGCGCATCCCCCAACTGGGGGTGTAATTCGGTGGGGGTCTCGAAGGGGATGGGCATGGGGGTGGGGATCGGTGAAACGATACTGAGCCTCAGCGCGGTCAGGGTCGGCGCCAGGCACAGGGGCAGCAGCACCCCCAGGGCCACCACGAGCACCGCCGCCTCGCGGCCGAGCGCAAGCGGGTGGCCCTCGCCGAGGAGGCCCACGAGCGCGCTGGAGGTGTTGTCCGCGACCATGACCGCGTACGATACGCCCGCTGAGATCCTTCGGCTCAGCGATCTGGCCTCTGAGCGTCTCCAGGGCGACTGGGGAGGCGAGGATCACTGAACTGATGGACTTCGGTGTCCTGGCATGCCGACATCCATCAGTTCAGTGATCCTCGCCTCCCCAGTCGCCATGGAGACGCTCAGAGGCCAGATCGCTGAGCTGAAGGATCTCAGGGGGCGCACATGACAGGAGCGTCAGGCAGCCGTTGACGACGATGATCCAGTCCATGGCGAGGCTGGAGCCAACGGACCGCTGCCAGAGGCCCCGGAAGCTGCTCAGGCCCCACTGCCGGCTCGCGCCGCCCAGCATGTGGAAGGAGGCAGCGGCCACTATGCCTGTGAATCCGAGGGACAGCATGCCTGGCAGTAGCGTCCCCTGCCGCAAGGCCTTAGAATCACCCATGATCAGGCAGTATCGAATCTGGCAGTCGGATCGAATCGAAATGTGCCTCGGATCGGGCCGCATGGGCACCGAGTGGAAATCGAATCGCATCGTCTGCGCTAGGGTCCTCGGCAGCGCCATGCCCAAATCGGGCCGCATCGGATCGCCAGAACATAACGAAACTGGATCGGAGCGGGCCGGCCGCCGTCGACATCGAGCCGGATCTTTCGGATCGACCTGGACCCGGATACCCCCTCTGACATCCGCGGGCACGTTTGTTCCGGCCCGCGGCCCTGGAGGTCCCGACCCCTTCCCCGGGGGTCGTTTTTCGTTCTGGATCCGTTTCTGATGGCCCCTGGGCCGAAGACGGCTCCCAGGGGCCGAAACTGAGGAAACCCGCCGCGGTTGAAAAGATGAGATCGTCGGAGATCTGGGCCTCCAGTCATATGGCCGATCCAGGGCCCGATCCCGATCCTGATCTGGCCAGCCTGGCCAATGCCCAGAGGCGCAGAGCAGCCCGCCGGATCTCGGGAGCGGCCAAGAGGGGGGTGTCCAAGAGGGGGGGTGCAAATCATGACCGGCGGCATGTGCGCGGCCCAGCGGGGGGGCCAGGGACGTAATGAAATAAGAAGGGGCGCCATGAAATCTGGGGAAATATCATGGCCCCCGCCATGATATCCACCCCCCCCTAGTCATCACCCCCCTCTGTTCCGCCCCCGAGGATCGAGGGCCCGGTCGACCGCCGGGACTGGGCCAGGTGGCGGCCTGATCAAGCCCCGACGGTAGAGGGGAACAAATCAGTGGACTCTCCCCCTCTCCCTGGAACTCAAAGTTGGCACGTGCGGAGAAGACTGCGGTCGAAGTGCGACTCATTCAACCCACCGCCAACATTGATTTTTTGGGGGGGGGGCATTGACAAATGAATGTGGCATGAGTATTCGCTAATTGCTCCCGAGGCCTGGATCCACAGATCAAGCTACTTACCCTGAGATCCAGGCGCTGCATTTTTTTCACCCCGGGCGTGATCGCCCAATTTCGGGCCCCGGGGCCATCACAGATCGATCCAGCTCCAACAAACATGCATCAAAAAAATAGGGTCTGGGGCCCAGCCGTGATTTTTCTCGATGTTGCAATGTTTCGCAACGTCGGATCTCAGGGTGGAGGCTTTAACACTCCGAGAATTCGCAGCATGGAGAAGGGGGAACTCAGACTCCAGAATTAAGATCGGCGTCTCTGCTCACGGGTTTCCGGACACACCCAAAAACTTGCCATATGGGGGAGGCAATAATTCAAACCCTGGCACCTATAGGGGACAAAAAACCACTGGGACAGAGACTGGCACCTCCTTTCCGCGGGCTTCGGACACCTCCAAGAACTTGCCACATGGGGATGGGAAATCGAACTCTGGGGCTCGGAAGACCTGCTTATAACTAGAGCCCAGCATCTCCAAACAGCACTTTTTCAGCCAAAGTGGTTCCTAAGAGTGTTCGCGCGTCCTGCTGTTCCTAATCGGCCTGCGTCTTCAACGTCGTCATCGTCGAGTTCTTCGTCATCGTTGTCATCGTCCTCCTCGTTCTCCTCCTCCACATCATCCTCCGTATGTCTCCGCATCCTGGTCATTATCCATCTCGCCCTCGCCCTCCCTCCTATCACTACACCTCATCCTCCTCCTCCCCGTCCTTCTCTCGTCCTCCCGCTCCTCTTCCTCCTCCTTCCCTTTGCCTCATAAATAACACCTCCTTGTCGCTCCCCAGGGCCAGTCGAAAGGGCGGGCCGAGCGCTTCGCCTGAGACTTCCTCACCCTGTATAATCCTTAATCTTACAACTTACAAGCTTGCCACAGCTTCACGGATAGAAGGCGGGTCGTTTTCTAAATGTGGTTCTCGCTTTACCGCCGCGCATATTCGTTTCAAAAATACTTGCAAAAGTTCCACGGTTGGAAGCGGCTCGTTTCCAAAATGTGGTCTTCGCCTCAGTGCCGCGCACAATCGTTTCAAAAGTTGTTGCAACCGTTTTACGGACTCTCATGGCTAACGTCCCAAAAATGGTGTTTTGGCACGATGTCGGAATGTCAAGGCGCAGGAGTCGCGTTGATTTGCTGCCCTCTGGCAGCCGTCAAGATCGTCAAAACGCAACAATAACGGTGACTCGCAACGGGGTTTTCACACAGCTATGGGTTTTCAAGCGGTCGATTTCCGAAGGGCACTGCCCTCAGTGAAAAGTGACCCTCTGTACGGGGCCTATGAAGAGGGAACTTGGAGGGAGGGTTGATTCAAATCTCGTTGATGAATATTGGGTTTACACCGGTCTTCCCCCTCCTCCTCCTCCTCCTCCTCCTCCTCCTCCTCCTCCTCCTCCTCCTCCTCCTCCTCCTGATCCTCATCCTTCTCATCCTGATCCTCCTCCTCCTCCTCCTCCTCCTCCTCCTCCTCCTCCTCCTCCTCCTCCTCCTCCCCCTCCTCCTCCGCCTCCTACTCTTACTCATCCTCCTCCCCCTCCGTCTCCTGTGCCTGTACCTCTTGATATCACTCTTCCTCGCCCCATCACTCATTCGAATCAGTCATTCGTCAAAATATCGCTACTCCCGGCGAAACTGGGGGTTAAACGGCAATGGTATGTCATGGGGCGCACATATATGGGGGAAGGAAGCGAGAAATAAAAAACGACTACGACGACGACCTCTGTCTCACCCCTTTCCTGTTAGCGCGCGCGTAGCACGCGTGCTTCTGTCCGATCCGCCGCGGCCGCGGAGCGGCGTCGGCGGTCAGCGGCAAGCGCAAAGAGCAAGCGGAGGAGGAGCATCAACAACTCCCCCCGCGGCGGGCCGCGTAGACCCAAGCCACCAACCCAGCCCAAGGAGCACCGCGGTTTCCCGGCCCCCCCCCATGGCACATTGCCCCCCCCAACCAGTGCACGCCCCCAAAAACGCTTCGGGCACACGGGGGAAAGGCACCGATAGCCCCGCTGGACCCCTCCGCAGCGGGCGAGGTCGGAGCGGGCCGACGCAACGCATAGATAAATTACGCATGCTCAATAGCGAACGCCAGAGTTCAGGCACAGGAGCTTTGTCCCGTTCCTTTCCTGCGAGTGGTGCTTTGGAAGCTGAACCTTCATTGGAATATGTTTCTTCATCTCGTACGTACTGAAGTGCATATCCTGCCCTTGCCGTCGCAATTTTTTTACGACCACCGCCGCGTTTTTATTGCGCTCCCATGTTCCACCATGCTCATTATCATCGCACTGATAAGTACGAGTCCCAGCAGTCTTGGCACTGACCCCGCTGGCAACCATATCGCGCCGAGCTTTTGCTCGACGCGCGACTCTCCATATTCCTCTGATCTCGGACTTGTTTTTTGCCACGGTGGTACTCTTGTGATCTCCTGCCGCCATGGCAGCGGCTCCTCGGCGTTCCTCCGCTCCAAGTTCGGGCCCCTGCTCCTCGGCCTCACCATCTCCCCCATACGCCGGGCGCCGGGGCGCCCTCGGCGCGCCCTCGCGCAAGACGCGCCCATCAGAGACGGCAGCCAGTAAAGGCCCATCGGAAGCCACAGTCAAGGGGCGCCCATCAGAGGCAGCCGCCACGCCGGGCCCCCGCGCGGGCGGCGCGGGGGGATGGGGCAAAGGGCGGGGACGAGCGCGCCCAAGAGTAACAGATGCAGGAGCAGCAGCTGAGCAAATGCCCTCAGCCCACCAGGACTCTCCCCCTCGAAGCCTGTTCCTGAAGCCCACCCGCCTGAATCGGGGAGAAGCACGTCAACGGGCCCGCCTGGATTCGACGAAGGGCTCGGAACAACAGTCGCATTGGGGGATGCCACCGCCATCTCCCGCCCTCGCATGTTGCGTCGGGCGAGCAGCAAGGATCCCATCGCCAGCAAAGCCGATATCAAGGACGCCGCTGTCCCCGAAAAAAAAGAGGCAAGATACCGACTGCAATCGTCGCATTCTGCTGTCCGTGATTCAATCAGATAAGTCCATGCGCCTTTGCCTTCTTGCTGCAATGGTTCTTTCAATTTGATCCAGTCGTGGAAATCCCCGATCGCATTCTGGATGGACCAAGGGCCCGCGCGCACCTTGGCATCGAGGCTGAGCCCCAGTTCTGCGATTGTTCGTCTCCATCAAATCGGAGCTCCTGACAGTGCCCCCTGTCTTGTGGTCAAGTTTATAAGCCCTCCTCATCAGATCCGGGCAATGATCAACCCAGTCTCCTGTGTAGCTCGCTCACCAAAATTCCAAACCGTCGAGAAGGGGGTGTATATCGGACGAGCGCATAACGCATCGTCTTCGAAAAACTAGCATATGCCAGAATGCGCTCACGGATTATGGACATCACGCGAATGGGTCTGTGATTCAGCAAGTCCTGTTTAACGTTCTTGTCCCAACAATTGGTTCGAAATGTACTGGTCCTGGCTACAACGCATGCTTGATCAGCATTGCCCTTTAGGGTCTGGTTCAATGATCTTGCATTCGCCCATGAATTTAGCTGCGGCACTATTATATCACCTCCCGAAGTCTCCACTGACATCGCCGCTCCTGAATCACCGACCAGGTTGACACCATCTTTCGCATACGTCTTCACACCTGGGCACCCCATGAATGCGCGACGGCTTATACACTAAACGAAGTGGTCAATCAGCTCCGTGGACATCCTTAGGCTCCTACTCCACTTGGACAGACCGAACTCCATGAAGCTTATCTTTGACAGATCTAATCAAAATCTCCGAGGTTTGATGACTTGCTTAGAAATGCGCAGCAAAGGCCATCTTCAAATTGGATCTCGGGTTCATTCGAATACGAGACGACAGCTAGCTGGTCGATGATGTAGAAATTAAACCGGATTGGGCCACGGTCAAACAATATGTCATGCCTCTCCTTCTCTCTCTCTCTCTCTCTCTCTCTCTCTCTCTCTCTCTTTTTGTTTCTCTCTCTCTCTCTCTCTCTCTCTCTCTGGCGACCTTCGGAAAAGAGTGCTGCGCAGTGTTAGAAGGCCTTCACGTTGAGCATTGG